GCCAATGAAGGACCAAACTCACCTCAAGTGCCCTCAGATTGGCAAAGCTCGCTTACCTTTCCAGGTTTCTGTTTCCCCTGGGTTTTTGACTTTTAAGTGTATCTTACCTTCTAATCAGAACACCAATACATTTCATTGTGTTAAATATTTTTCTGTTTAACGCATCTGAGTCGTGCTCAGTGCGAGGGTGGGTGTGGCCGCCGTCAATCGGGGAGCTGCTGTGGGAAACGGTTCTTATTTTCTAACCTTGTTTACGATTCTCTTGTCATAAAGAAGGGGTAATTTTGCTGTAGGCAAGTGGAGCTACCTTTTCCTTTATAATGATAACTTTTTGGTCTTGTCTGAGAAATCTTCTCTTACTCTCAATCATAAATATGAAAACGCATTCTCTTGCGTTCTCTCTGTGTAATGTAAGGAAAAACTTACTTTGGTCCATATAAAAAACTATGCAAGGGTCAAATTGGGCTCTTGGCCAGTTTTTGTAAGCCTTTGTGAATTGAGGCATGGCTTCTACATTTTTTGAAAGGATACATATAAATACACACACACTCATGTGTACATGAAGAATATGTGTCAGAGATTGTGTGTCACCTGCAAAGTCTAAAATATTTATTACATTCATTATCTAGACCTTTATACAAAAAGCCTGCAGACGCCTGGATTCATCACTTTTTTCTCACTTATTTGCTATATTTTATTTTTTATTTGTTTTTTTTTTATTTGCTATATTTTAACTCCCGACTTGTACCTGGAGGGTTTTTTTTTGGGGGGGGGGGGCTCCATTCTGTCTCATCCATCTCTTTGTTGTCAATTCCAAACACCACACTAATGAAAATGGCTGTTTCCATCATGAAAGTGCATGAGCCGAAGGACCGGAGTAGAGCGCAGGCTCCGTCCTCCGAGTGGAGCTGGGGAAGCGGGGAGGTTCAGGCTCCATGCCTCCTCGCCCGACGCTAACTAGAGGCACAGACATGCGGAGAGCTCACGAATGACCGCCCTGGTCCGGAGAAGCGCTGGACCGTGGAATGGGATCTCATTGATTAATTTGTAACCGTGCGCCGTGCGCTATGGAGCATGAAACACCTGAGCCTTGATCTGGGAAGCTCCCGGCAAAGGGAACAATGAATGGTGAAGTCCCAGGAGCACGGAGGTGATGGCCGAAGAGGCTCTCCCTGAGCCCTGAAACATGCCCTCATCCCGGAAGAGGAGAGCAGAGGAGAGAACCCTGAGCGCCGTGCACACCATTCCCCTAATTGCTGGTGTCTGCGTTACAGCATGAGGCCTGGGGGGAGGGGGGGGTCTGCTCACTTGGCCATGATGCACTTTCTTGTTGGACGGGGTGGCCCTCTTAGTAAGCAGAGCTCCGTTCCGAAGTGAGATGGAGACACACACCTGGAGTTGTGACGGCCACTAGTACAGGCGCCGGAAGCTTTCACCGCAGTCCCGGCCCTGCTTAGCGGGAGCCGAGGGCTGCCGGCCATCCACTCCAGTTCCCTTTGCCTCGTTATTCCCTGTGGGGCCAAGAGAGGAGAGTGAGAGGGATCCTGTGAATGTGATCTTTCCCCGGAGGAGCATGTGAGAAGCAGGGGTGTACGCCTGCGCACCGCTCCTTGGAGGAGGGCAGGGCGGGCTTGAGGAGGCAGGACTGTCAGTGGCTTTCAGCCAGCGTCAAGGTACAGGCCAAGCCTCGGCCTGCGCCTTCTGTGAGCTTCCCACTGGACTCTGGTTACCACGGTGCTCCCTGAGCTCTTGGCCTTGGCCAGCGAGCCGTCCGGGTCCCTGCTGAAGCTGCTGTGGGGGAAAAAGGCTTTTTTCCTGAACGTTCTCCCAAGAGGTCTATAAACAGAGGCTCCTTGCTGGTCTTACATCAGAGTCCGCGACACAGCCTCCTCTTGGAAGACCTACAGAGAGGGACACAGACAGCGGAAGCTGTGCCGAGCGAAGGAGTCGTCTTTAAAACCTGGACCTTACATGGCAGCTTATGTGTTTTTGTTGTTTTTAAGTAAACCTCCATCAGGCCAGCTAAAAGTAGCAAATTAGACACAAATACAGAAATCAAGATTGATCTCAGAAACACGGCCTTGAGTGAAAACAAAGTGAGAAAAAGAAGTCTCTGTGGCCCAGCGTCCCGCACAAGCACAGAGCACATTTAGATGCCTGTGCGCCTATTGAAGGTGCGTGTCCAACATCCCCCAGGGGTGGGGATCAGGAGGGAAGAGAGGAAAACACTTGCATGGTGTCTGAGGTTGGGCTCCCTAGAAGCAGAGCCTGAGAGGGGATTCTTGTTCGCATGGTTGATGGAGGGAGGGCTCTCAGAGGCTGGTGAGTGAGAGCAGCAGACCAGGGCAAGGGGAGGATGTGCTGCTGGGTGTGCAGTCCTGCCTGACCCATAGGGAGCTCTGGAGTGGGAAATGCACAGTAGAGACTGCCCTGCTGGAAGCCGGGACTGAGCGGCAGCCTTTCCTGGGGGTATGTGCAAACTCCCTCCGGCCTCCCCAGGCAAGACTGCGCCCATCTGCCAAGGGCAATTCCCTAGGGAGGGAGGGAGTCACTAGTAGCCAACACTCCAGCAGCCGGGCCTGGGTGTGCAGCCTGGTGGAGGAGAGGCTGTCAGAGGCTGTGTGGCTGGTGATGGCCAGCTTGCAGCCCCTGCCTCACCCTGGCTGCTCTTCCCAGGGCCATGCTGCTCCAGGAGGGGCTGCACGAGAAGGTTTTGGGAGAAGCCAGGAGGGGAGACAGACCCTGCGCATGACTAAGCAAAAGAATGCCCTGGAGACAATGCCAAGACCTACTTGGGCTCCCCCTAAGGGCAAAGGGTCCAAATTCCACCCTCACAAAATCTGAGTTCAGCGCTGGCCTCTTCCAGCAGAGCAGGCTCCTAGCTATTTCACTGAGTGGAGTGCCTCGATCCTACATTTTCCAACAGCAAAACCTCCCTGCAGCTCAAGCTGTGCATGCTTAACACCTGCAAGCGCCTGGCAGCCACCCACTGATGTGGGGGCAGAGGTGACGGCAGCATGAAGAATTCTCCATGTGACCCCACACCTTCCTTCCTTCCTTTGTCTCTGCACTTTGAGATCACTCCTGCCCCCCCCCGCCCCGCCCCGCCAGCAGGAGCCCCCACTGGTGCAGGCTTTGTGATGATGGAAACTGCAGCCCTGTTGCTTCCCACCTGGCTCAGATAGCGGTTTCAGGAACCTGTGGTCCTGACAAGCAGGGACCCCTAGGAGTGATGGCTCCTGCCCAAGGCCAGGAAGGCAACTGTGCCCCATAAGTGGCACCTCTCCCAAACCCAGACGCCAGAAACGATGAACAGAGAGTCCCTTTCTCATTGTTGCTGCAGTCAAATCAGTGCCCGTGGACACTGCATTCTGCAGACCTGATTTAAAATTCTGCCAGCGCCCTGGCACTCATGGGACTGCGGCTGGATGTCAGCAGAGGCTCAGGCAAATGAGAAAGCAAAATGGCTGAGCAGGTTGCCTCGCCTTCCCCTCCCTCACCCCCAAGCCAGGTGGTTCTGAGGAGTGTCGTGGGAGTAGGATTCTTGTGATCTGAGGATTTATAATGGAACGAGTCCTTGTGGCTCATCCAGGCAGCTAGAAGTTGGGTAGAGACCCTTTTAATGAGCTCACCACTGATGGGGACCTTTGCAAAGTGGTCCGGAGCCCTGGATCAAGTGGCCACTTGGTCTGTGAGTCTCAAGGCACCTGGCAGCTGCTCTGCATCTCAGTTCTTCCCCCTGCAACACGGGGGCGCTAGACTAACTTGCTGGTCTGCTTTTACTTGCACGTTTCTATTAGTAACAAGTTGTGAGCCTGTACCCTAATAAATTCATAACTGTTCATTTACAAATGCTACATATGTGGCTGGGCAAAAATCACCACTGGTCAAAAGTACCCTTAAAATTGTTTAGTTAGGCACCGTGCTGAAGTCATACTGCTTGTTCTGTTAGCTCTTGCTCTCTAACAACCCAAAACAGAGGATTAAAATGATGCCATTTATTTAGCTTGCAATTCTATGGGGAGCTGTTTCAGGCTGGGCTCAGCTGAGTGGTTTTTCTGATCTTGGCTGGACTTGCATATGTGTCTGTGGGCAGCAGCCGGGTCTGCCAGGGACTGGATGGGCGGGAGGGCCAGCCCCTGTGAAGGCCTGTCTTGGTTCCATGGGTTTCTCATCCTCCAGGCGGCTAGCTCAGGTGCATTCTCCCAGCACAGGCAGAGTAGAACATGCGTCATGCACATTACAAAGGACGTGCAACAATAGACATAAGAATGTCTAGGTCAGTGGTTCTCAACCTTCCTAATGCTGCGACCCTTTAATACCTCATGTTGTGGTGATCCCCAATTTCACTGTTACAAATTTAACATAATTAAAGCATAATGATTAATCACAAAACAATATGTAATTATATATGTGTTTTCCGATCGTCTTAGGGTCGTTCGACCCCCAAAGGGGTGACGACCTACAGGTTGAGAACCGCTGTTTTAGACTCATACTGTCCAGTATGGTAGCCATGAGCCATGTGTGGCTATATAAATTCATTCAAATGAAATAAAATGTAAAACTCAGTGTCTCAGACACTAACTATATTTCAAACACTCAGAAGTTTCGTGGTTAGTGGCTACTACTGCCTGGGTCAATGCAGATTACAGAACATTTCCATCATTGCAGAAATTTCTACTTGACAGCCATTTTTATTAAATATTCAAGACTATTTGTCCCAGTCTTTAATTATAGCACATGTTATGTGCCACACAGCACTGAGGGCATTTCATAAACACTGTCTCATTTAGTCCCTGAAACAACCTCATGAACATGGAGTAAAAATGAGGTGAGGAGGGAGGAGGCGTTTCTAAGAGCTGACAAGTAGAGGTCGCCCTCTGTTCTCCCAGGGGCTTGGGTTTTATTGTCTGAGCATCACTGTTTGGGATGTTGTGTGTATGAGCTTCTGGACACATGCTCCCAAGGCTGGTCACTGTCGTGTGCTTCTCTGTCCACAGGTACAGAGGGAGTTTCTTGCAGGGTCGAGTTCGACTCAGAGCGAGTAGACTACGCAAGCCACTCTGGGTGCTGAGAAGAGACTGCCACCTTCCCCAACTCGAGGGGCTGGACCCACGCAGGACCCTAGGGCAGGCTTCTTCTGAAATGGCAGGTAATGCTCTCCTTGGAGGTGAATCATGTGGGGTGAAAAGGCTGCTGGGGATGCAGGGTGAGCAGGAGACAGCCACCCTTGCCCTCAGGAGCCCAAAGTCCAGGGGGGTACTGGTGATGTCATAAAGGTGTGACATCTGTGGGACAGTCAACATGGCCCTAAACTAGTGGACAGGACGCCAGTGAGAATATCCGGTGAGATTGATTGAGAATCCAATATTGAGAGGCTGACAGACACCCTTGAGCACTGGGCAAGTGTACTGGACACAGGTGTCCTGCAGGACCTAGGAAAAGGGAGTCAGAACTCTTGGTGTGTCTACCTTCCCACGTTTTTAAAAAAGTCGACTTGGTTCTTTCCACCGGACCATTGTGAGGCTGAAATAGGTCAGCGGATGGGCCTGCCTGTCCACGTGAAATAGAAGAGTAAGTAGTTATTATGTGTTAAGAGCTGCAGGAAACACTGCTTACATGTGAAGCGGTAAGAGGTCCACTCTTCATGCTCGGAAATAAATAAAGGATGAACTAATGGAGACTGCTTCCTGGAACATGGGCTATTTTAAGTTGCACTCACTGGGCAACCAGCACAAATTACTTAACTTCTCTGGACCTCAATTTTCCCTCCCTTTCTCCCCTCTCCCCAGCAGTAATGAGCCCCGTCTTAGCCTTGCTTGCTGGGTGTTGACTGGGAAAATGAAGACCACCTGTGAAAAGGCTGCAGGGTCCCGTCTGGCCAGCAGTGACTGAATTACCATCCTTTTGTGGCTGATTGTTGTCTGTTTGACTCAAGGGCTGACCATGGGCTCTGTCTGGTGCCTGAAGTTTTGCTCCCTGGGGACATATCCTCCACCACCTTTGTGTAGCTCCAGTGCCCCCTACAGGCACTGGAGCTACTTTTCTGCTCCCCCTCCACTCCCAACCCCTAACCTCCAACCCCCAACCCCCAACCCCCAAAGCCTGTTCTGGTAGGCAAGGACAAAGATTGGTTTCTCAGTGAGAACTGAAATCAGTATAGGTATTTGCTCAACTGGATGGCCAATTGTGGATGGGAAAGCACTGTGTTTGTGGCATGTGGAGGGCTAAGATCATGTGGGAGAGGCTGGGATGAGGTGGGGGTGGGGAAAATATCATCAGGGAATGCCTGTGTCCCTCATCCTAAACTCCATCCCTTTCCTCCTCCTCAAATAGATACCGCCAATGGAATTGCCCTTCGGGGTGTGCTTGGGTGAATCCAGCCCCCAACCAACCCAACAGTTGTCCCAAATGTCAGAGCTTTCCTACTAGCTCTGACATTTGGGGTCAGCTTCCTCCTCAGATCTGTCTGTTAGGCTAGGCCAGTGGTGGGCAAACTGCTGCTCTCGAGCCACAGGCAGCTCTTTGGCCCCTTGAGTGTGGCTCTTCCACAAAATACCACGTGCGGGCGTGCATGTACAGTGCGATTGAAACTTCGTGGCTCATGCGCAGAAGTTGGTATTTTGTGGAAGAGCCACACTCAAGAGGCCAAAGAGCTGCATGTGGCTCGCGAGCCGCAGTTTGCCGACCATTGGGCTAGGCTGTCAATGTAGGTCTTACCTACTCAATGGCTCAGTGTCAGGGCCAAGTAAGCTCCTGTGTGTGGTGAGTGCTTTGCAGACTCTAAGCAGAAGGGTGTTGGCTGTTACTATCTCCTGAGCATAATGAGCATGCAGGCGTAAAGCCTGGCATATGCCGGATGAGTGCCAGATGAATGGGGGACAGGTGGTAATAATGGCCTCTGTTGTCTAGTGAAGGACAAGGGCAGGGTTAAGGGAGGAACCCAAAGGGGGAATTTTCTTGGGAGCGACAGGGTTTCTTCTGGAAGTTCAGATCCGGGGAGAATAGGACAGAGGTTTTCTGAACTGGGGAATGGTGAGTAAAGGCTCAGGGGTGAGAACAGGGAATCTGGGGAGGGCAGATTGAGTTCAGGCAGGCTGGTGTGTGCTAGTGTCCATAGAAGACCTATGGAGCCATTGAAGCCACTGTACCTAGGGTTGCTAAAGAAATTTTTGGAAACTTGGTGGCTTAGAACAACAAAAGTCTATTCTCTTATAGTTCTGCAGGTTGGGAATCTTATACTCTCTCTGAAGATGCTAGGAAAGGAACCTTCCTGCCTCTTCCAGCTTTGAGTGGCTCCAGGCATCCTTGGCTTGTGGTAGCATCACTCCAGTCTCTGCTTCTGTCTTCACATGGCCTCCTCCCTCTGTCTTTCTAAGGACACTTGTCATGGGATTTAGGGCCCACCCTAAATCCAGGATCATCTTATCTTGAGATTCTTCATTTAATTCCATTTGCTAAGACCCCTTTTCCAAGGCCACAGTCGCACGGTCCATGAACTATATCTTTTATCCTGGACATATGTTTTTGCAGGGGCTTCAACTCAACCACTATAGCGTTTGTATAACTTTTCCCCATCTGCAATCTAACAGAAGTCACCCCAACATGTGTTTCTAAGTGAGAAGGGCCACGGCACAGACGTACATTCAGTGGACAATGATGTACCTCGTCCGTGCTGTTATGTATTCAGTTTGGTTAGGAAAGTTGTATTTTTAAACCTAAATCAAGATATCATCATAGAAACAGAACCATTCAAGAAGAGTTGTCCAAGTGGTATAGGTAGTCCATACTAAAGTGGGTGTGTTGGACTGTGGGATGCATTGGCTTCCTTTCCAGAAGAAGGCCCAGAAACAGGCTGCATAGGGGTGGGCGGAGCCTCCTTGTGTGGCTCTGTGGATTGTGTCCATAGGGGCTGAAGTCCAGTCACCACCCAGTTCGTCTGTCCTTGTGCTTTGGGTATGGGGCTATGTCAGCCCAAGGTGAGGACACCAGCTCCTCTGCCCTCCTCCCTCAGGGGGCGCTCTTTCACACGTCCTCCCGTGGAAGTGGGGACCTCTTCCCAATGTACCCTGTGTGCTCGGAGAGACCCGGGAGACTCCTGAGAAATCCTCTGAATTTTATTGTCCTTTTCACCCCTTCTTCTCTTTAGAAGCTCTTGTCAACCTCTGGGACTGCCCTGCCCCGCCCCCATGGAGCACCAGTGGAGATCTGGAGACTCCTTATACACTGGGAGAAACTCCACTTTTGTACACTTCTAGCCCAACATTGGTGTCATACCCAAATCCTAAGCGCAAACGGGGTGCCAAAGGATAAAACTGGACCCAAACAGAAAAAAAAAATCAGAAACAAAGCCTGAATGTGGAGCTAAGAAACGAGAGGCCCTCAGTAGTTCAAATTCTCCCTGGGAACGTAGTTCCAGTGTCGGTGACAATGTCGCAGCAACAGCTGGAGTGGTGACAGATGTCTCTACCGGTACTTTCATGTTGATTATTCGAGGAGAGGGTTGGGTCACCAGTGACCATTTTCAAAAGGCTCCCTTGGCCACAGCTTGGGAAAACACTACGGCAGGTGTGGGCCTGTGGGATGGGGCCCAAGCATTGGCTCAGGGAATAGCAATCACTCCTGCTGCTTATTGCCAGGGGAACAGGGATGGCTGGTTGGTAAGCCAGCAAGCCCTGTGGACAGGTCATGAATGGACACCATCACTTCGGAGGGTGGCAGAGTACCTTAAAATCAATACCGCCTAGAAATCAAAGAGGTTTGGGCACTTTTCTGCCAACATCATGCAATGCCAATATTTCACAGTGGAGGGACAGGCACTCTGAGAGTGTTGTTATTCCAAGACAAAGTGCTGTAACTTCAAAGGCATTGAAAGGTGGGCCTTGGTTGTCCACCATTTGCAAACAATGTTCTCATCTCCTTTGACCTAGCAGGCAGTGGGTGGAGAAATCAGAGATGGCTTCTCAGTGTGTGTGTGTGTGTGTGTGTGTGTGTGTGTGTGTACCCATGAGTGTACTTTCAAGTGCATGCACGTGTGTATATTTTTTGCAGGACAGTGATAGGTGATCTGTTTGGGGTGACCTGAGAGGCTGTAACTTGGAAGAACGTAGTGAAATCAGAAAAAAGAAATTGAGGTGATCTGTGGGATGGGGGGAGGGTTTTCTAATCAAAAAGCAGGAAAAACCTTTGGCCTGGTCCTCATTGGCCAACTAGAATCAGTAAAACATTGAAAAAATAAGTAGTCAGGAATACTTGTGTCCAGGGGCTGCAAGAAGATGTTATAACTGATTCTTTGCCCTCTTTATTTTTGGAGAACCTTCCTCTCAATAATTTAGGAGGATAAAAAATATTTTTTAAAAGGATGCTTACTGTCCCTCTCTTTTAAACTACTCTGATGGCTTGGTTCTAATCAGTCGAACAACAGATGGCTTGGCAGTGAAGTCGTAATAAGCAGAAGGCCATAGGAGCGGTGAAGGATAAAGACCTAATGTATAATATTTTATAGTGGTTGGAGTCTTTGAGATTCTCCCGAGAACTGTCTTTTTTTAAATCTAAATTCAGTTGTCTATCTCATCCAAGTTTCCAGCAAGGGGGTGGGGAAACTGGAAGTTTCTTTTCAGATATCAAATAGAGTTGACTTACCAGACACCCCAGGATAGGCAGGAGTATCAATATTTCAGAGAACATCTTTCCTCTCCCACGCTCACTTCAGGATCAGGGCTGAGGTATGGCATTAGGTGGATTTAATCCCAGGAGCTCAAGCTGCCTCATTGAAGGAATTAGTGAGAGAAGGTTCTTAGATATCAAATACTGAATGTTCCAAGGACAGCAAACACCTACTTGAGGAAAAACCTTATAATCCAAGTATTCTTTATGGGGCACCCCAGTCAGAGGTTGACTGGGGACACAATGATTGTCATGGGATAAAGACCTTCCTGAATAAATTGCTGACAAATTGATAAATTTAGTATCTCTCTCCATCTCTCTCTCCGTGTCTTTCTCTATCTCTCTCTCTCTCCCCTCCTCCCCTCTCCCCCTTTCTCTCCCACCCTTCCTCCCCTATTAGCATCCATTCCTGCCCCTCAGGGTAATCCTATATAATAAAGAGGTGATATGCAAATTAACCCTCATGCCATCACAAGATGGCTGCCT